TGGGGCTCTGTGCCCCGCTCTCTCGGCTCCCAAGAAGCCACACACACACACCCCCCACTGCGAACCACAGGGGGGGGGGCCCGAAGGCCCGAGCGCTGCGCCCACTCGATGCTATTCTTGCCGAACAACCTCAAGAATAAAAATAAAGCGGACAGAACTGAAAGCGACGGTCGTGCCCAGCGCTGGCGTCACGGGCGCCGGTTCCCACGCTGCCTGGGAGTCGCTGCAACAGCAACGGGAGAAGAGCTGGTGTGAGCAGACCCCCGGCGACCCGGCGTGAGCAGAGCCCGGCGGAGGCCTCCCCGCTCTACCCCTGGCACCATCTGCACAGGGAGACGCGACGAGGGCTGTGTCTGCACCTCAGTCTCCACGCAACACACGTCCTTAGGAAATGCCCAAGGACGAGAACCATTTTCTGTGTTTTGGAGATTAAACAAAACAAAACAACAACAACTACAAAAAAAAAAACCCTGCATTTCAGATTGCACAAAAATGAAGCCAAACCGTGACATTAAGGACCCCCGAAATCAAAAGAGATAGAATCCCAAAAGTGGTACGGGGGGCGGGGGGGGGGAATCCAGCTAAGACAAAGGATGGTTTCCCAGCCGCGCCATGTCACCTACAGCCACAGCCCAGGCCCCATCCCAGAAGCATGGCTGCTCATACAAAGAGAAGCAAACTCACTCCAGAAGTGCCAATTCGGTCCTCCCGGGGGTGAGTCCCTAGCGATGCCGGTCTGAAAGCAGTCACCTGAGTCCACCAAACCCCAGAATGCCCTGACAAGGACCCGGGGCCCAGGCAGGTGGCAGGCATGTCCCCAACCCACATGGCCCAGCTGAGAGAGGTCTTCACAGTCGCAGAGAAAGAGGCCACTGTCCCTAGCTGAAGTAAGCATACCAGTGGACGGAGAAGAAACTGGCATACAGGTGCCTGCAGGCCATCACCACTATGACAGGTAGCCACAACCAGCACAGCCTGACAGGAGTCTACAATCATCACAACCTGACAGGAGTCTACACCCATCATAACCTGACAGGAGTCTATACCCATCACAACCTGACAGGAGTCTACACCCCTCACCAACCTGACAAGTCTACAATCATCACAACCTGACAGGATTCTACACCCATCACCAACCTGACAGGAGTCTACACCCATCACAACCTGACAAGTCTACAATCATCACAACCTGACAGGAGTCTACACCCATCACCAACCTGACAAGTCTACAATCATCACAACCTGACAAGTCTACAATCATCATCACCAAGACAGGAGTCTATACCCATCACAACCTGACAGGAATCTATACCCATCACCAACCTGACAGGAGTCTACAATCATCACAACTTGGCAGGCATCTATACCCATCACAACCTGACAGAAGCTCCACAATCATCACCGAAATCTACAATCATCACAACCTGACAGGAGCCTGCAGCCATCACCACCTGATAAGAGTCTATAACCTCACAATCTGTCAGACTACAACCATCATGCCCATGCCAGGTGTCTACAATCATCACTGATCAACAGAGGCCGAGAGGCCATCAGCAGCCTAACAGGCACCCCTCAGGACACAGGCAGCAATGGTGGAGGAGGGGTCTGTCCCTTTCCCCTTGCCCTCGAACCCGAGTCCCAGCATAGCCCGGGTAGACACTGCCCTGGCATCCAGAACGGGAGTTCACAGGGCTGCACACCCAGGACAGTGAAGGGCAGGTTCTCCTCAGCTTTCATCATTCTTGGTCTAAAAAACCACAAAGGGCCACGGAGACACTGCCACAGCCGCCCTTCTGGGTTTGATGGAAACGGTGGCCAGGGTCCGGGGGACCCCGGCGCAGGGCCCCTAATGCCGGAGAGTCCGGCCGCGCCATCCACCCGCCCCAGCGTTCCCCGCCTCACAGCCCGGTTCTGAGAAGTAAACGGAGGAACGGATAATGTCCCACAGTGCTGACCTCAAAACCAAACCCCAAGAATAAATGTTTAAGTCCACTTATCTATTTGCACATTTCCAAGCTGACACCTAAAATTTCTCATGGTATGTTTAAAACCTTGTGGAGGATGTAATTTCTGAGACTTCATAAATATTAACATTTCAGAAGAAAACTGTTACTGTTTCTCTTTCAAATGGGTCCAACGGAATCTAAATCCCCAGTCCTTGAGATCCGCAACCATCCATCTTACAATTACACAATTAAAACTCCTTGAGGAGTCGGAGCCGGAGCCCGGCTGCTCGGGCCAAGCCCGCTCCTGGCCTGGCGCACGGAGCTGCCCCGCCTGGCGTGGGCTACGTCCAAAGGACTTTTATTGATGACTCCGTTATCCTCCACGGCAAAAAAATATTTTTTTTCATGTTCTTTTGGATTTCACATGACCATAAAGCTTTCCATGTCAAACTTTTTTTTCTCCAAGATGGATTATGACAATTAATTAAATGCACGTGGTTGACCAAGATGACACATTACCAATTTAAGTAAGAATATAACTAAGGTCTCAGAAGTCCATCTGAGAAGGAAGAAAGAAAAAAAAAACACATCTCAGAAGGGCTGAATGGGATTTTTAAAAAGTATCTTGGGGCTGGAGGGATAGCACAGCGAGTAGGGCATTTGCCTTGCACACGGCCGACCTGGGTTCGATCCCCAGCATCCCATATGGTACCCCGAGCACCGCCAGGAGTAATTCCTGAGCGCAGAACCAGGAGTAACCCCTGAGCATCACCTGGTGTGACACAAAAAGTAAAAAAAAAAAAAAAAAAAAAGTATCTCATGCATCCACGTATATTGCTAGACTGATCAAGAGTTGCCCAAATTATCTGAAGATATGAAATATGAAATAATGAAAATGAAATAACCTATAAAATGATACGTTCTGCCTCCACTTTGCGACCTGTCTCTAACAGGGGCCACTGGGCAGGAGTGCCGGCCCAGTCCTGCCGTGTCCAGTCCTCCAGGGGCGCCCAGCTGGCCTGCGACGCTGTCCCCCATGCTCTCTCCCCCTGGCCTCTCCATTTTGCAACTGTCATAGTCCCAAGCGCAGAACTCACTGCTGCAGGTGAGTGGCGAGACAGGTAAGAGCATCTTCCCACAGCAGATTCTGCGTTCCTGCAGCACGGGGACCCGAACCCACAGGAGGATGGAGGCCGACAGAGCACGGCTGGGAGGGAGCTCCCCGCCACGAGCCAAGCGGTGACCAAGCAGGGGGTCTCACACCAGGACCTGAGCTGCTGGGGATGGGGTGGGGGTCCCTGAGCACGCCTGAGGGGAGGCACAACCACCCCCCCGAGTATTCCAGAGACGGGAGACCGAGGACCCGGGGTACCCTGCAGGAGCAGGGCCGCGGGGTGGGGGGGAGAGGGCACAGCCAGGTGGTTCCTCTCAGGCCCGGCTGACATGGGAGCCAGCGCGCGGGCAGATGGAGCATCTCTCCACCCGGGCACCCCATAAATGTCAAAACTTCCCCGTGTTCCTGCTGTTCCTCAGCAGCCGACGGGCGCGGGTTCCCGAGTGGGAGCTGGGACCGGAAGCCTCAGATCCCACACGGCCTGGCGCGCCCTGGGCTCCGAACCTGGGTGCCGCTTGCAGGGGGACCAATGAGCAGACACCGAACGCCCACCGGGTGGCACTGGGACCCCAGGTCCTCCCTGCCCGTCCCCCGCCCCGTGGCACTGGGTGGCAGCACCCCGGGAAGTACCCTCCAGAGCCCACCCCCAACGTCTACAAACCCCAGACCCAGCCCCCCAGCCCCTGGGCTTGTGCCAAGGCCCTTTCTCTGCTCCTTGGAACTGCACGTTCTCTGAAGCAGCCCTCAAGAAACCAGGTGGGGTGCAGGGGGAGAGATTTTTTTTTGTTTCTTTGGGGGCCACACCCGGCAGTGCTCAGGGCTGACTCCTGGCTCTGAGCTCAGGAATCACTCCCGGTGGGGCTCAGGGGGCCGTAGGGGGTGCCAGGGCAAGCACCACTGACCCCAGCTAGAAGACTATTTTCAGATGCCAGCGTGGGAAGGACCCGGGGGGGCTTCCCTGGGCCCCAGACGCAGCCCCCTCCTGAGGTCACCGAGTATGGCCCACCAGACTTGAGGAGGAGGGAGAACTAGAGGAGGGAAGAGGAGGGAATCGGAGGGAGGGGTCCTCACCGCGGCTACTGGCCCCTGCGCCCACCATCCGCCCAGGCAGCCCCAGAAGCTGCCAGCCCGCCCCCTCCGGCCATGGGGGTGGCACCCCCCCGTGCCACAGTCTGGGATCCCCTGGGAGAGGAAGGGGGGTGCCGAACCCCTCAAGCACTGTGGGGGAGCAGGTGGGCTCAGGACCTCTGACTGGGTCGCAGCAGGGAGTCCCCAGGGGTGCAGAAAGTGATCAAAGGCGGGAACCTCACAATGCCGGACACACACCCCCCATCAGCCCTCCAGTGTCCCCCTGTGGGGGGGGGGGAAGCAGAGAAATGAGGTGTCCTGTGATTCTGAGTAAAAGTAGCCGCTGCATATGAGAAGCTTCCAGAAACCCTTCCACCCTCCCTCCAGACCAAAGAGTGCTGCTGCTGCGGGTCAAGTTCAGGCGGGGAGGGAGGTCCGCAAGCCACCTCCCCTCCCCCAGTCAGTCCCTGCCTCTCCCTCGTCCACCTACCCCTTCCCTTCCCCACCCCTCCCCCTCCCCATCCCTCCTCCCCCACCACTTCCCCTCCTTCACCCCTCCCTCTCACCTTCCCTCTCCCTCCACCTTCTCTCTTCATTTTCATCTTTGTCCCTCCTCCCGGTCCCCCACTTTTCAGGCCTTTCCCAGCCCCTCACACCGAGGGGAGAAGGCGCAGGTGACAGTGGCCAGCAGGTGGCCGTCTGGGCAGGACCCACACAGGAGAGCGGGGAGCAGCCCTGGGGGGCTTCCAGGTGAGCCCTGTGGCCCCCCACCCACACACTCAGCAGCTCTCGGCACCAGCACCCCAGGCCCGTCCCGACCCCCAGGAGTCAGGGCAGTTATGGGGAGAGGCCCCGACACGGGCAGCACTCACCTGCACGACTTCGATTCCACGCTTCCTGTGGAGAGAAACAGAGAAGACCAAGGTTACTCCAGCAGACAGCACGCATCCTTCCAGAACATTCTCTGGGCTCAGGCAGGCTCCCCAGAATAGCTTTTTAAACAGTGGGGTGGTGGGGGGGTTATGGCTGCCTGGCTTCCCCAGCTGCCTTCAGGCTGAGATAGACCCCAAGGACCCCAGGCCCTTTGCCCCTCCAATGGCGGGACAGGCTGTCGGCTCCCGAGCACTGACTGGGGAGTGAGCGCCAAGTCCAGATCCCACACACACACAGACACATGACACACAGACACACACGGGAACACAGACACACACACGGACACATCCGCAGACACAGACACACACGGGAACACACAGGCACACACACGGGAGCATACAGACACCACACAGACACAGACACACAGGAACACGCACAGACACGTTAACAGGCATACAGACACACAGGCACACAGACAGACAGACACACACACACACACACACACACACTCTCTCTCTCAGCATCAGGGAGGGCAGGTTAACAGAGACCAGGGCCAGGCCCCTCCCCCTGCAGTGTCCTCAGCCTGACCCGGCCCTGCAACACAAAAGGGGAACAGGAACCCCAAGAGCAAGAGCCAGAGAGTGAGGGGCAGGGCCAAGCTGGAAGCCCCAGAGCAAAGGGGGGGGGGGCCCAAGGGGCAGGATCACAGCCAGGCTGCTACCCACCCCCACCCGAACTCCAGAGACCAGCCCCCTCCAAGAGGGCCAGGACACCGCCCCCCCCCGCCCCGTCCAGGTGCCAGGCGGCCGACATCGGGGCACTGATACGAGGTCTGGGCCCCGGGACAGACTTGGGCACCCAGGAAACCGAGGGGGCCCCCGGGCGGGGTTTCCTTCCCACGCTCACCACCCAGGGTTGCAGTGAGAGCACAGCCGCATAGATGGGCAAGGAAGGGCAGAGAGAGACCTGGGCAGAAGCTGGGCTTCCCGGGGGGCCTGGCCCCCACCACCACCCACGAGTTTCTTTCGCCTTTCTTGGGGGGGTTGAGGGGTTTGGGGCCCTGACAACACTCAGCGCTTGCTCCTGGCTCTGCACTTAGAAATTACCCTGGTGGTACTAAGGGATCAGATGGGCTCCCCCGCTGTGCTATCGCTCTGCCCTCCACCCCAGAACTCAAGGGGCTGCACCGCTGGCAGATTTCACTGTCAGGACACGAACAACCCTCCTGGGGAGGATGGCGGCACCAAGCTGGCTTTGAGACCGGAAGGGGACAATTCCAGGGGCCTCCTGACAGGCGGGGAGGGAACTGGGACATGCGACTTCATTTTCCTGCCCGACACCCCAGGGCTCTGCACGCCCTGAAACCACGGCCTCAGGCCGGTCAGCCCCAGCGTCTGGGCAGGGCTCAGGACACCAGCACTGCAGGGGGGTGGAGGGGGGGTTCCCTCCCCAAGGGGGGAGTGGGGAGACCTCAGAGAAGCCCCACAGGGGAGGGGGAGGAGACACCCAGCAGCCGGGGGAGTCTGAGCACCACACAGTCACACGGTCCCCCGCAGCAGTGTCCTGGAGGTCACAGGAACAGGGGATGGGGAGGACCCACTCAGGGCGCAGCAGTGCCAGGCGTGGCCGAGCCCAGGGCCCAGCTGCAGGCTCCAGGCGGGGCCCCTGCCACCGGGTCTCAGTCCAGCCCCCATGGGTGACGGAAGGCCCAGGAAGCCAAGCCGGCATGGGGGAGACCCGGGACCTGTCGGGGAACCAGGAGGCCAAAGTCCAGGGGGCCGACAGAAGGGTCTCAAGGAGCAGCAACACGCCGGTGACAAGAGTCAGGAACGGTTTCAAGTGCCCCAAAACACGTTAGAGACTCCTGAGGGGCGACTGGGACCCTCCTCCCTGTGCACATGGGAACATGCAACACCCTCCAATGCCAGCTCCAAAGAGAGACCTTCTCCCACGGAAACCACGGCTAGAGCCCCCCGCGGCCCAGCACAGGGTCCAGACAAGACTGAGACCCCCCCCCACTGCCCTCAGAGACCCCCCACACCCCAACACAGACAAGCCGAGACTCCCAACTGCTCAGAGACCCCCACACCCCAGCACAGACAGGCCGAGGTCCCCCACTGCTCAGAGACCCCCCCCCCCAGCACCCCAGCACGGAGCACAGACAGAATGGAGCTCACCCTACTAGACTGGACAACGGTCCCTCCCCGGGCCAAACCTGGCCACGCTGCCATGTGGACATTCACACTTGGGCTCCCACATCCAGGAAGAAGCTGTTGGCGGGGGGTGGTGGGGGGAGGTCAACTGTTGGCGGGGGGTGGTGGGGGGAGGTCCGCCCTAACCTCAGCCCCAGAGCCCACCGGAACACAGTCCCCAAGGCTGGCCCGACACCCACCTTCCTGGAAAGGGGCCAGCCAGGGAGGCCAGCCGTGGCTCTCAGCTCTCCCAGGGACACGCAGGACAGGAGAATCTGTTGGTGGCGGGGAGGGCAGTGCCACCAGCACCCAGGGGGCCGCAGCCTTCAAAGGTGGCAGACAGGAGCCCCACGCCTGCCTGTCCCCGCACAGGGGCTGGGGAGAGCCCAAGTCCAGGGGCCAGACTGGACAGGAGCACCCGGCTTCACCTCCTCTGTGCTGTCTGTCCCTGCGGCCAACCCCCAAGGCAATCGGGACCCCGCGGACACCCCCAGGGCATGGTGGGGCCCCTCGTCAAGCCCTCCCTGCGGGTTCCCGTCCCTGTCCTGCCGCCCACACCGTGCTGGCTCTGGCCCCCATCAGGAGGGGACACAGCAGGACAGGCCGGCTCGCTGAGCCCTGAGCCCCCTGGGCAGGGAGCAGGCCTGGAGGTGAACAGTGAGCCCGGGGCCACGCTGGGCAGGGTTTGGGCCCCGGAGGCAGAGGGCTCCAGCCCAGGGCAGCCCACAGCCGAGCCCCAGCCGCTGGCGCGCTCTGGGTTCCCCTCCCAGAGAAGTGCTGGAAACGCAAACAGGCCAGTACGGAAACAGCAAGAAGGGAAGTTTAAAACCTGTTCAAACCCGCGACTGTTTGCAAGACTCTGGGGAACCAGGTACACTGGGAGCTGGTGTGTATGTGACGATGCCAGAGAGTGTGTGTGACCGACTGAACAGTCACTGTGTGTCAGTGTGTGACAGTGTCAGAGTATGTCCAATGGAACAGTCACTGTGTGTTAGTGTGTGTGACAGTGTCAGAGACGTTCACCGTGTCAGTGTGTGACAGTAGAGTGGATCCAGAGAGTGGATCCAACTGAACAGTCACTGCATCAGTGTGTGTGACAGTGTCAGAATGGATCCAACCGAACAGTCACTGTGTCAGTGTGTGTGACAGTGTCAGAGTGTGCGCCCGACCAAATAGTCAGTGTCAGTATGTATGACAATGTCAGAGAGTGTCCAACCAGTCACTGTGTCAGTGTGTGTGTCAGAGAGTGTCTGACCGAACAGTCACTGTGTCAGTGTGTGACAGTTCAGAGAGTGTGTCCAACTGAACAGTCACCGTGTCAGTGTGTGTGACAGTGTCAGAGTGTCTTGCGTTCAGCTGTTCCATATGTAGGTGTGTGTGTTCACCTAGACAATCACTCGCTTGGGGGGGTGTCCGACTGGACAATCGCCCTCTCTGTGTTCATGCGTGTGCCTGTGTGTGCCACCCACTCCAGGCTGACCACCCTGCCCCGAGGTCTCTCCCGGACCCAGGGTCTGCCTGGTGCAGGCAAGGGGCATGAGTCAGCGAGTCTGGGCCAGCCCTGGCCACCGCCCCCACCCCCCGCGGCTCTGCCGGGCTGTGGGCGGGAGAAGCAGAGCCATGACTCACGGTCCCGGCTCCCGGCACCTCCGCAGGACCAGAGAGTCCTGGACACAGCAGCTCCTTCCAGGAAAAAGAAACTGAGGCAGGGGGCAGGCCAGCGAGGACCAGGGGTATGAGCACTGCCCCTCAGCAGAGGGCCCTGAGGGCCTCCGGGGACTCTGCTGCCCTCACCTGCAGGCACCACCACCCCGAGGAGGGCCCGAAATGACACTGGGGCTGGGGGTGGGGTGCAGTGGGGTGCAGGAAGGGCTGGTTCCAGCACGGCCCGGCCCCCAGCCCTCCCTCCGCAGCCTCCGGCAGGGCCGGTCACAGCAGGGCTCTGCACCCCGTGAGTCACCGTCAAGCTCCCCTGCAGGATGAGCCGGGTGGTTCCAGCGGGAGGGACGCTGGCCCCAGGACCCTGGGGGGTTGGGGGGAGGAGACGGTCTGACAAGCGCTGTCAGCCTGGGGGCCACACCCGGTGGTGCTCGGGATCACTCCCGGTGGGGTGCTGGGGTGCGACTGCACTAAGTGTTTATCCAGCACCTGGCCCGAGGCGGCAAAGGTTTCTGAGAGCCGCGAGTGTGCAGGGCGCGTTCCCCACACAGGGTGCCCCTCAGCTGGGCCCCTGGGCACCCAACATGAGCCTGTGCAGAGGTATGGCCCCACACAGCCTGCTCAGGGGGGGTACGGGAGTGTCGCCCCTAGCACACGGCCGGCGCCCCTGGGAGCAGAGGCCAGGACGGCTTCCTCACTGTCCCCTTGGGGAGGAGGCCGGCTCTAGACTCTGGCCTTGGGCCCACCCAGTTCTGGGGACACTCTGTCCCTTTCTGACCGCTGGGGCGGGTGTGGGGGCCGGCGGGCACCCAGGGACAGTCGGCCCAGTGGAGCGAGGCCCCCTCTGAGCCCAGCCCTGCCCTGCCCTGCCCAGCGCTGGCAGCGCCTGCCTGCCGGGCCTGTTACAAGCCCCTGCTCAGGGCCGCCAGGAGGTGGCACGTCTCGCACCCAGGGCCTGAGAACGGGGAGGCACCAGGACTGCTACCCTGCGGCCCTTGGTTCCTTCCAGGGGCCTCACAGCCAACCAGAGACAGCAGCCAGCCCACGTCCCACAGCTCCCGAGTGAAAACAGGTGTGGGGGGGGCCCAGGACGCAGGGTGAGGTGATGGCACCCCAAGGACTCACACTGGAAGCTGGGCTGTGTGAGGATGGAATGTGGAGTGATCACTGGGC